GAACCGGGCGTGGGCTCGACCCTGGTAATAGCCGCGTGGCGCGGCGTAGGGCTCATGCTGGAAGGTTGTGATTCAGTCTCGGCCACGTCAGCGGGACGCCGTCCCTGCCAATAGGGGATCGGCGATCCAGTCCGTCTCGAGCACCTGACTGTTGCGCTCGATGAGGTGCGCAGGCTTGGCGTCGTGGCGACGGTTATGGAGAAGCGGAGCGTCCATCTTGCGGCAGACGGCGACCATGGCGTGGGTGTATGTAGAGCGCGCTGTCGGCGCGGACGGTGAGTTGTCCCGTGGCTCCGGCGTAGCGCACCCGGCCCACCGTCTCCCGCAGGAAGTGGTCCGCGCCCCGCGCGGTGTTGGCCCGGCCCTGGCGCAGCCGCACCATCAGCACGTCGCCGGTGTCCCGCGCGACGGCCAGCAGCGGGTGATAGCCCCGCTGGCCGGTGTAACCATGGCGACGGGCGCCCTCCTTGCCCAGTCCGTAGGTCTCGCAGACGGTGAGTCCAGGTCGATGGTCAACGGCTCGTCGCCGGGTCCTGCGCCAGCAGCCCAGGCCCGCGCCAGCAGTTCCCGGCTCACCCGATCCAGTTGGCGAACATGACCCCACCGGAAGCTGCGCAGAAAGGTCCCCAGGGTGGATGGCGCCTTCACCGCACATCCCAGCACCCGTGCGGTGCTGCCGGTGCGCAACACGTCGGCGTCATCGATGCAGTCGCCGCCGGCCAGTGCCGACGCCACCAGCGTCAGCATCTTGTCTCCCGGGTTGGCTCGACCCGGCGCATCTCCCAGGTCAACATGGCGGTCCACCAGTTCACCCAGACCCAGATGGTGGGCCAGGGTAACCGGCAGGAGCAGTCCGGCATTGGCCACCAGACGGTGGTCGTCGAAGGCGACGTGGATGCGGTCAGGGTGGTTGCGTGGTAGCATCTTTTGGGTGCTCCTCGTTTTGGGTTGGTTTTCTGTTTCAAAAACCATTATCCCCGAAGCCGGGAGCACTTTCTCATCCCCTCAGCACGCCGCCAGCATCATTTTGTCGGGTGGATTGGGCTAAGAAGCGACCTAAAAACTGGTGGGAAGTTTGCCGGCGATGGGCAACAAGAACGTAACTGGGTTCGCACTAGGCTGGGGCAAGGACCAAAGCGAAGGACCCAATCCGCTGCGTCCCGAAGCGTGCCGGCCACAGCCACCCAGCCAATGCCACACCGGCTCTTTTCAGGTATCACGAAGAGATGGGGGAGCTTTCTTCTTTGCAGTCCCCTTTTGTATCCTTTCGCGGCTCTTCTGCTCTACGGGGTTTGCGGGGTTGTCACCTTGTCTTCTGATGTTATCCCAATCTATAGGGTTGTTGGATCCCCGGTTCCCAAAAGTGCAACACCCATCGTTCGGCGCGGCGGGCCCAGAGCAGTACGGGACCCGGACTGTGCCAACGGATCTACTACGGGTTCTGCGCACCGGCTGCCAGTGGAAAGCCTGACGCCACCGGCATCTGCTCTGGGTCCACGGCCCATCTGCGCTTTCAGGAGTGGGTTGCCGCTGGGGTGTTCCGGGAACTGTGGCGGGTGGGTCTGGAACGTTACGACGAACTGCAAGGGTTGGACTGGAGTTGGCTGAGTATGGACGGGGCCATGACCAAAGCTCCTTTGGGTGGGGGGAAAAACCGGCCGCAATCCCACCGACCGAGGTAAGATTGGGGTCAAGCGTAGTCGGTTGACTGAAGCCCAGGGGGTTCCGGTGGGCCTGGCGGTGGACGGGGCCAACCGCCACGACATGAAGCTGGTGCGGGCCACGGTGGACAGCGTGGGGATGCCCCGACCGACGCCCACTCCGGAGCATCCCCAAGGGCTGTGCCTGGACAAGGGCTACGACTTCGCCGAGGTGCGCCGCACTCTGGACGAGTTCGGCTTCACCGCCCACATCCGCAGCCGGGGCGAAGAGGCTCAGGCCATCAAAAGGGAGGCTGGGTTCAAAGCCCGCCGCTGGGTGGTGGAACGCACGCACAGTTGGCTGAACCGTTTCCGGCGCATCCTGGTCCGTTGGGACAAATCCCCGGATAACTACATCGCCTTTCTTCATTTCGCCTGCGCCCTCATCGCCCTCAGAGCCGCCGGGTCATTAGGATAGGCCCTAAGTCGGCAGCCACGGCAGTATTGCTCCGGCCCTCAGCGCAACCCATGATCATCCTGGCCCGCAGTGCCAACGCTTGCGCCGTCTTCGGACCACGCACCCACCGCTCCAGCGTTTCCCGCTCCACATCGTCAAATATCAACGGTGGCATCGGTCGCCCGATGGCCATGGTCATCCTCCTCATTGCCAATGCAGAGGGAGGATATCTCATCGTCGATATTATTACTACTAACTTCAGTTACATCACACTAGCTGCGGCAGGAAAACCGGGGTTACACCGAACCTCCCTCAGCTAGGACGGCCAACTCCGCCTTAGATAGTCCCAACTCCCCGCACAGGACCTCTTCGTTGTGCTCCCCGATGAGAGGCGCACGCCGGGATATCCTCCAGGGTGAGCCGTTGAAGATGGCCCCTGGGCCTGGGTGTCGAAATGTCTTGCCAAGTTCCAGGTATTCTACATCTGTCCAGAACCTCCGGTCCTCCAGGTGAGGGTCCTGCATGACCTCGTCCGGGGAACGGATCGCCCCTGTGTTGGAGCCACGCTTCTGCAAGCCGTGGTAGGCTTCGTCCCGAGGGATGTTGGCGAGGAAGTTTACGAAAATTCCGCGAATATGTGACTGGCTCTCGGCGATGACCGTTGGGATCCCGGTACTTTTCATCCAGTAGGTCGCCCGCCAAGCCGTGCTCATCCATCCACGGCGCAAGCATCAGCACCCGCTCCGGGGTAACCTGACCGACATTCACGTATTTTCCATCCTTACAGAGGACCTGGGCGTTGGGCCCAGTGGCGGTGTTGCCACCTCCTGTTCTGCGAGGAATCACATCTCTTTTGTAAATATACTGGTTCACATGGCCCTCGGTCGTGAGCGCGCAGGCATCATGCACCGAGGCATCTATGTACTGCCCCCGGGCCGTCACCGACCGGCTAACCAGCGCCGCGGTAATGGCGATGTAGGCGTAGTGACTTCCGATGTGCCAAGCCTGCCCTCCTCCGGGAGCGATGGGTGGTGCATCTGGCACCGCGTCGTCTTCATAGCCACACCTGGCCATCTGTCCGCCCGCCGCCAGATGCAGCAGGTCGCTGGTCTGGAAGTCCTGCCACGGCCCGGTCTGCCCAAAGGGGGTCAGTGAGCACATAATCAGCCCAGGGTTACTCTTTGCTAGATCTTCGTACCCCAGCCCCAGGGAGGCCAGATAACCGGGCCTGAAGGTCTCCAGTATCACATCCGCCTTCTCCGCCATTTGCCGGAACAGCCGGCGCCCGTCCTCCATCTCCAGATTCAAGGTAACCCCCCGCTTGGAGGTGTTGTAATGCCAGAAGTAAAGGCTCCTCTCCCGATTCGGTATGTCCTGGTAGAAGGGCCCCACGGTCCGGGCTACCTCGCCACCGGGCGGCTCTATCTTGATGACGTCTGCTCCCATGTCAGCCATCTGCTTGCCACACCACTGCCCCTTCTCATCGGCGAGCTCCAGCACCCGCAGCCCCCCAAAGGCCCCCGCAGAGTTCCGGTCCGGCGTCCGCGCCGGCGCCGGCGCGGGATTCGCTATCGGTTCATTCCCACTCCACTGTACGGGCGAGGCATCCTCCATCATCTCGTTGAAGTAGGGATAATCTTCCATACTGAGGTCCTGTGGCCAGAAGGTGCCGTCGGCGAAGCCGCTCACCAGGGCCTCGTGACTGATGCCCAACAACCCCTGAAACACCTCTTTGTTGTGCCCGCCGATCAGGGGACCTGACCGGCTGTTGATTGCAGGCGTCTCCGACATCTTGAAGGGAGCGTTCTGAAGGGGCCAGGTCCCCAGCGCGGGATGCATCACGTCCCGGTAGATCTCTCGATGCCTGAGCTGGGGATCGTTGTCCACCCGGTCCTGGCTGCTTTGAACGGGCATGGCGGGTACTCCCGCCGCCTGGCACCGCTCCATGATCTCGTACTTGCCCAGAGTCTTGGTCCACGCCTCTATCCTCTGGTCCATCTCTTCCTGGTGCTCCAGGCGACCTTCAAGGGTGGCAAACTTCTCGCCGGTGGCCCAACTGGGAGAGCCCATTACCCCCACTAACTGCCGCCACTCATAGTCAGAGAAGCAGGCTAGGGCACACCAGTCGTTGTACTCTGCCGGACTGGTCTTGTAAGCGTTGTGCGGCGCCCCGGTCCGCCCCCGGTAGTTGTTCACCAGGGGCGTGCCAGGCCAGTGAGCGCGGTTGCCCGGCGGGTAACCCTCTCGCATGGTGGAACGACCGTTGGCCTGGATGTCCAGAAAAGCGGGACCATTAAGGGGGACGCCAATGATCCACTGGGAACTGTCGACATGCTGTCCCTGACCGGTCATGTTGCGATGGTAAATCGCACTCAGAGCATACATGGCCCCGTATAAGCCACCGGTGTCGTCCAGGTAGGACCAGCCCCAACCAGCGGGTGGCTTGTCCGGCAGGCCCGACGTGTAGGTCAAACCGGACAGGGCTTGCGCAATGGCTCCCATGGTTTGATACTCTCGGTCCCGACCCGTGTGGCCGAAGCCGGACATGGAGAGGTAAATGATGTCAGGCCGGAGCTTCTTCATATCCTCGTAGCCCAGACCCCACCGCTCCAATACACCGTAGGCGAAGTTCTCGATGACGATGTCGGACATGGCCACCAAGCGCCGGGTAAGGTCAATGCCTCGGGGTGTACGGGTGTTCAGGGTGACGCTCAGCTTGTTGGAGTTGGTGTCGCTGAAATGGCCGTTGGTGTTGAGATTGGCGGGCAGGCCCTCGGGGGTACCCGCTCCCGTCGCAATGTTGTTGCCCCGAGTATTGGGGCTCTGGGGCCATTCAACCTTGATAACCTCGGCTCCCAGCGCCCCCAGCCATCGGGTGCACCAGGGACCCGCCCGGACCCAGGTGAAGTCCAACACTCGGATTCCTGACAAAGCTCCCGGTGTAGTTGGCGCTTCTGCTCCGGCCTGCACCATTGAATCACCTCCCGGCTATGGCTGTCTTAAGGTTAACTCGCCTTATTCTAACCCAATGTGGTCGATGGAGATTCCCGAAAAACCAGGAAGGCTAATTACCGGAACTTTCTGAAAAGAGCCCCAGGCAAATTGATTTGCCCGGGGTTAGGCTAACGAGTGGGCCCGGTGGCAGGTCTCGCATAGAATCCCGCTGGCCACAGCTGCAACAGGATAAGCCATGTTTCGCAGCTTGGCCTTTTTTGCCGCTGAATCCAGACCGTGCCAAGGAGAACTGAATATGTCTTGCGGAATATAAACTTCGCCCAGTTCCTCGCTGGTGATCTGGCTTCGGCCTTATTACAACGATGCGCCTGCCTGGGTTCCTATGGGGGAATTGAAGGGATGTCGAAGGCTGAAGTAGTCAAGGACTAGAGCCCGGGTGTGAAGCCTATTTTGGTCATTGGGAGCGGTGCAGACTGGGCTCCAGTTCCAAGGTAGAAGGTCGGCGGCCGACCTCACCAATTGGTTTACACCTGACCGAGGTGTCTTGGCTGCGCGGAGGAGGAGACCTCGCTCAGCCAGCATGGTGGCGACCGGCCGCCTTCTGCCTAGGGCTAATCGACAATTGGACGAAACCCGGTTGTGGTGGTAGGGCAGAAAGGGAGTACAAGGAGGTACAGTGAAACTCTGGCAGCAAAGTGTGGTGAAGGAGATGGTATGTGATGAGTTACGAGTTGAGCAGACACTCAATGGCGGAGGTGGAGAGTTGCTGCCGGGCGCGTCAGGGTTGGGTCGCGACGTACGGCAACACCAAGGATAACCGAACCGAACCTTCGATCAACGGCGTCTGTGGGTTTTGTGCGCAGCGGCGCCCAGTGGAAAGACCTGCCCCCTGGTATGGCAACTGGAAAAGCGTCACAAACGTCTTCACCGCTGGGCCATGTCCGAATTGGGAGGAGAGGAGGGATCTTCCAAGTGTTGCTGGACTGACCCGGAAACAGATACGTGATGATTGATTCCACCATAGTGCGGGCACCCTCAGCAGGCGGTCTGTGGCAAAAGCCAAAAGTGAGGCTCTGGGCCGCTCCCGCGGCGGGCCTGAGCCCCAAGATTCATCTCTTGTTGATGCTCAGGGCGCCGGTGCGTTCTCGCTCACCGCGGTCAACGGGCGGAGGGTCTCCCACGCCCATACCTCTGCTGACCGGTATCGAGACTGGCGGGCCGTCATCGCCGACAAGGGTATGGACGACAACCGGGTACTGGCCTTCATCCGGACCAGGGAGCCGAAGCGGTCATACCGCCAAGGCAACCGGAGGACCTTGGGAAGACGACGGGAACAGTATCGGGAGCGCAACCTGATTGAGCGAGCTTCCAACAAACTGAAGCAGTGGCCGCCGAATCGCCACCGGTATGATCGCAGGAGCTTGTATTTCTGTCAGCCCTGCGACTTGGTAGCCTTGTCATCTGGGGTTCAGCAATTGTTCGATTAGCCCTAGTATTACAACGACGGATGGCATGATAAGGTGACGCGGGGTAGTTGAGGAAGGCTTGGGCAAGTGAGGTAGGGAAGGGGATGCGGAGGCTTTCGAGCGGGTGTACGGGGACCCTCAGGATATTCAGGCTTAACTCGCTGCTCTGTTTGGGCGCCGGGAGACCCGGGACCACAGCCGCCATACTCAGGCCCTGCTGGTGCAGTCGGCGAGCGGCGCACGCCGAGAATCTGTCGGAGACGGTACCGGGTCAGCCAGGGCGATGCAGCGGTTTCTCACCGAATCTCCTTGGGATGACGACACCGTCATAGGACGTCTTCAAGAGTACCTGGGACCCCGGCTTGGACATCCGGAGGGGGTGTGGGTGCTGGACGGCAGCGATTTCCCCAAGCAGGGGGTTGACGGAGTCGGTGGGAGAGCCTGTCAGTTACTGCGGCGGGCTGGCAGGTGGCCAACTGCAGGCCGGAATGTTCCTGCCTACGTCAGCCCGTGGGTCGGACCCTGGTGGACAAAGGTTGTACCTGCGGAGAGGCGGACCTCTGACCAGCGACCGGTGCCAGGTGGCAGCAGGGGTTCCGAAGGAGAGGCAGGGCTACCGTGTCGAAGACGGGTAGTAGTTGGCGCTGGAGATGCTGCAGCGGGCCCTGAGAGCGGGGGCATCTGCAGGGGATGCGTGCTGGGGCCGATGTATGCCTTCGGGATGTCGCCGTCGTCCGCGAGGGAGGGACTGGAGGGCCGACCTGGGGATGCGGCTACGTACTGGACGTTCCGGCGGGCAGTACGGTGTGGGCCTGAGGAGCGGATGGACGGCGGCCCGCAGGGCCGAGCAGCCGCGGAGACCAAGGCGGAGATGGAGATAACGTGGCCGCGAGGTAGCCAGGGTCCACGCAGCTACGGTCAGCGCACAGCGTGCGTCTATTCTCTGTACCTCTAGTTTCGACCAACTCCACCGTCCCGTGGCCCCACCAGCGGCGGAAGCCCGGCGACGATCCACTGGCCGTCTATCGCCGGATCTGGACGGCAGCGAACGCGCGCGAACTACCTGCTCCAACGCTCCGGAGGACACTCCCCTGGAGACTCTGCTCATGTGGGCGGCTCGATGGTGGCGCATTGAGACCGAGTCGAGGACGGAGCAGAGCGATGTGGGGCTGGACGGTGACGAGCCCCGCACTTGGCCCGTGTTGGCATCAACCCACGTGGCCCTCTGTCTGTGTAGGCGGGAGGGCGTTTCTACTGAGCTGCAACAGCTTGCAAAAGATAGCAGGATCAACGAGGCGGGTCTTGCGCAGGTGTATGCACCGGGTGGTGCGAGAGAGATGCTGCACACGGAACGTCGGGCCGGCTGCGCTGCTGCGGTGTGCGCTCGAGGATACGCAAGAGAGTGCAACGGAGCGGGCCAGACGCTCCCATGCAAGCGCCGCCGCGCCTTCTTGCATCCCCGCACATCACCTTGAACCGTCAGTGAATACTAGGGCTATCGACAATGACGAAACCCGGTTGTAGTGTCCCGTCAAGTAGTGTAAAAGCGCGTCATCCCTTTTGATGTTGATCAGGCCGCTGCTTCCAGCATATTGGGCTCCGGCAGTGCCTCGTTGCCGGCGGCATTGGGGATGGTGAGGTAGCGGCGGGCTTCGGCCCATTCGTCATGCTGTTCGGCCAGCACCGCGCCCACCAGGCGTCGTGCCGACTGCCGGTTGGGGAAGATGCCCACCACGTCAGTGCGGCGACGGATCTCTCGGTTCAGCCGTTCCTGCGGGTTGTTGGACCACAGCTTCTGCCAGTGGGCCACTGGGAAGGCCGTGAAGGCCAGAATGTCCGGCGCGGCGTCTGCCAGCAGCTCGGCCACCTGGGCAAAGGGCTCCCGGAGTTGTTCCACCACTCGGTCCAATTGGCCGTGGACCTCGGCGGGAGACAGTTGCTGGTAGATGGTGCGTACCATGCGAGAAGGTCCTGGGTGGCCACGCCAGGTTGGGCACGCTTGGGCACTCGGGTGAGCAGGTTGGCCATGAAGTGGGTGCGGCAGCGTTGCCAGCTGGCTCCAGCAAACACCGCGGCGATGGCGTTCTTCAGCCCCTGGTGAGCATCGGAGGTTGCCAGTTCCACCCCGCTGAGCCCTCGAGCCGTCAACGACCGCAGGAAGGCCAGCCAGAACGCGCCGTCCTCGCTGGCGCCCACGTCCATACCCAGGATCTCACGCTGCCCGTCGGCATTGACCCCCGTCGCCACCACCACGCAGACGTTGACGATGCGACCGCCCTCCCGAACCTTCTGCGTCAGGCCGTCCAGCCACACGTAGGGGTAGGGACCGCCGTCCAGGGGACGACCCAGGAAACTCTCCACCACTTCGTCCAGTTGCTCGCAGATGCGCGACACCTGGCTGCTGGAGATGCCATCGCAGCCCAGGGCCTTGATCAGGTCGTCCACCCTTCGGGTGGAGACTCCCTCCACGTAGGCCTGCTGGATCACCGACAGCAGAGCCTTCTCGCTGCGCCGCCGTGGTTCCAGCAGGCTGGGGAAGTAGCTGCCTTCCCGCAGCTTGGGAATGTGCAACTCCATGGTGCCGACGCGGGTATCCCAGGTGCGGTTGCGGTAGCCGTTGCGGTAGGTGACCCGCTCTGGGCTGCGTTCGCCGTGCTGGGCGCCGATCTGGGCGGAAACCTCAGCGTCCATGATGCCGTCCACCAGGACCCGCAGGGCTTCCCGCAGAAAGTCCACGTCTCCGTCGATGCCGCGCTTGCGTAATAATTCCAAAAGATCCATGCTGTGTTTGACCACCGTCGTTCTCCTTGGTTGGGTTGTTGTGATTCCACAAGGATGACGCGGTGGTTAGCTTTTGGCTACACGCCTAACTCTTACACCACTTCCTGGGACTCTACTACCCGGTGTGTGGTGTAGGGCAAACAGAGTACCAGGACCTGCTTTGGTGCTCAGAGTATACACGTGGCGGTACCGTGAAACTACTGGCAGCAAAGTGTGGCGAAGGATCTGGTATGTGATGAGTCCAGTTGAGCAGCACATCAATGCGGCAGGTGGAGAGTTTACTGCAGGGGATCAGTCACGGCTGGGTAGGCGGTCGTACGGCACCGGAGAAACCGAACCTTCGTCAACGGCGTACTGTGGGGTGCTAGCGAAGCGGCGCCCAGTGGAAAGACTTGCCCCGCGGTATGGCAACTGGAAAAGCGTCCACAAACGTTTCACCCGCTGGGCCAGGTCGGAATCTGGGAGAGGATCTTCCAAGTGTGACTGGATGACCCGACAACAAGTATGTGATGGTTGATTCCACTATAGTGCGGGCCCATCAGCAAGCAGCCTGTGGCAAAGGGGGGGCCAAACGTGAGGCTCTGGGCCGCTCCCGCGGCGGACTGAGCCCCAAGATTCATCTCCTTGTTGATGCCCAGGGGTGCCCGGTGCGTTTCTCTCTTACCGGCGGTCAGCGGGCGGATGTCTCCCAAGCCATACCTCTGCTGACCGGTATCGAGACTGGGGCCGTCATAGCTGACAAGGGGTATGAAAGCAACCGGGTACTGGCCTTCATCCGGGACCAGGGAGCGGAAGCGGTCATACCGCCCAAGTCGAACCGGAGGGACCCTTGGGAATACGACCGGGAACTGTATCGGGAGCGCAACCTGATTGAGCGAGCCTTCAACAAACTGAAGCAGTGGCGCCGAATCGCCACCCGGTATGATCGCAAGAGCTTGTATTTTCTGTCGGCCCTGCACTTGGTAGCCTCTGTCATCTGGGGTTAGCAATTGTCGATTAGCCCTAGTTGGCGACGATTGCGGATTCCTGTAGCGCCTTCAGTTTGGCTCGCTCTGTAGCGGACCAATTCGTGCCGTATTCGACTTTCCATGAGGTCAGACGCCACGTTGGACGCATCGTCGGCAGTCGGGACCACGACGCGGCAGCCGCCGATATCTTGGATTTCTGACAATCTCAAACGCGGCAGCCGTTGGAGTTTAGACACGATCGACGGCAGCCGCTTCAAACGCTGGGGGGCAAATCCAGACTTGCCCGCTCTCCGGCGCAAATTAATCCTGAGTGTGTTCAGCGGTATGCTGTGCTTAACCCCGAATCCACCGAAGGGATGCAGTCGCGCTGGCCAAGGCAGGGATGAGAGGTTCGGGAAAGAAGCTGCAGAGCCTTGATCCGTAGAGATTCGGCTGGGTGCGGAGAGTGAGCGCCGCGGACAGAGGTTGTTGACGACCGAAGGTGGTTGCGGAGGGGGAGATCAGCTGGGCAGATGGCAGCAGTAGACACACTGGTCCCAGCCTGGCGCGGGACAGCCAAGCCTGTGGATAGTCTGGCGGACGGATCAGGCGCGGTCAGGAAGGGAGTGGGAGGGCGCGCAGTCTCGCCAGAGCGCTGCTGAACTGGTTCTGCCAGGGCCAGCCCTGGGGCAGATGCAGGGTGAGACGCCGGGCCGAGCGGGTGAGCCGTCCGGGGAGAGCGAAGAAGCGCCGCCTGAGGGTCTTGGTGGTGCCACGTGCTCGCCCAGGCCGACGCGCGTTGTCCAGCGAGCCAGATTGTGGCCATGACCCCGTATCGAGTACGGGGCAGGCTCTGGACGGCCAGCCAGGCAGCGTTGACTGGGAAGCGGCCCGAGGGGAGGTGATTGAGCCCCACGCCATACTTCAGGTCGCGGATGGCGTTCTCGATCTCGCGTGGCGGCGATGGTCGGCCTCGAGATCCAGGGTATCGCCCTCCCGGTCGGTGATGAAAGCGTGATAGCTGTAGTTGGCGAACAGCGCCAATTGGGAGTCGGGCGTGGGCTGCACCCGGCGGACGATGAGGCGCACCGGCGCGGCGTCGGGTTTGCTCTGGAAGGGGGTGTAGGTGGCCTCCGCCACAGCGGCGGCACCCTCCATCCAGTAGGGTATGGGCGTCCAGTCCTCCTCGGGTATGGCCTCGATGATATTCCGCAATCGGGCGTGCTGGCGGATGGTGATGGAGAAGCGGACGTCCTTATCGCGGCAGACGGCGACGATGGCGTGGGCGTAGAAGCCGCTGTCGGCCCGCACCGTGAGTTGACCCGTGGCACCGGCGTGGCGCACCCTGCTCACCGTCTCGCGCAGGAAGTGAGCGGCGCCCCGAACGGTGTTGGCGCGGCCCTGGCGCAGCCGTGCCATCAACACGTCGCCGGTTCCGGCGGCCACGGCCAAGATCGGGTGATAGCCCCGCTGGCCAGCGTAGTTGTGGCGTTGCGCACCCTCCTTGCACGGCCCAAAGGTCTCGCAGACGGTGGAGTCCAGGTCGATGGTCAACGGTCCGTCGCCGGGTCCGGCCCCAGCAGCCCAGGCCCGGGCCAGCAACTCCCGGCTCACCCGATCCAGCTGGCGCACGTGACCCCACCGGAAGCTGCGCAGGAAGGTCCCCAGGGTGGACGGCGCCTTGACCACGCAGCCCAGCACCCGCCCATCCCCGCCAGCGCGCAACACAGCGGCGTCGTCAATGCAGTCGCCACCAGCCAGCGCCGACGCCACCAGGGTCAGCATCTTGTCGCCGGTGTTGGCTCGGCCAGGAGCACGGCCCAGGTCAACGTGGCGGTCAACCAGTTGGGGCAGACCCAGGCGCTGGGCCAGGGTGACCGGCAAGAGCAGCCCAGCATTGGCCACCAGACGGTGATCGTCAAAGGCGATTTGGATGCGGTCGGGCTGCTCAAGTGGTAGCATCTTTTGAGTGCTCCTTGTTTCGGGTCGGTTTGCTGTTTCACAAACCATTATCCCCGAAGCACAGGAGCACTTTTTCATCCCCTCAGCGCATCGCCCACTCATCTTTTCGGTGGATTGGGGTTAACTCTCCGTTGATTTATAATCTGCAGAGCCTCTTCTCTGTCGTGATTTTGTGCTTCAGGTCCCAAGAGCAGAATTCGTCCAGCTCTATAGACCTCTTCGTCGCTGATTGGCGTGATCTGTTGGTCAATCCGGTTCATAGAAAGTAGATTAACATAGCCAGAGGAGGTGAACCGGCAAAACTGATTGACGCCAAACCGACAATATGGTTGACGCGGGACACCCTGGACCAGTCCGCTCTTCACGCGATTGACTCTTTCCTCAGTGAATTTGCATCAAAGTCCGGCTGGAACGAGGCGTCAAACCGCCCGGTTGCGCTCGGCGGGTGAGGAAACGCTGTCGAGCATGATGCCGCAGGAAGATGACGATGCGGCCAATGGTAAAAAGAGGCTTACAATCAGTGGGCACTTCGGCGACAGGAAGATTGAGCTGGAATTCATGGCCACCGCGGAAGAGGAGAACCTGGAAGACAAGCTGGCGTATCTGAGCGAACAGCCTGAGATACAGGACGAGCGGGGTTTTTCGTTCCGTTTGCTGCAGCATTACGCGTCGTCGGTGCAGCGTCACAAGTAACAAAACATAGACATAATTACCGTAGAGGTCGGCGGCTCCCGCTAGCAGTCAACTCTGCAATTCAAGGGTTAGGTGCCGGGGGTTGACTGGCCGGCATATTACCACCGTGCGAGCACCATTCAAGGTTGTCCTCCATCAACCGCGCGTTGCAATCCAAACGACATGATGTGCGCCCCCCTTGCGGTTGCTTGCACCATGCGCCCGCACCTTGACTTCATCCACCTCGAAACCAGCACGGCGCAACCGTCTGACGAATGCCGGTTGAGGACCGGCAGACCACATCGCCAATACACCGCCGTACCGCAACGCCGCGTAGGTGGCGGTCAGCCCCGGCAGGCTGTATAGCCAATTGTTGCCCTTTCGGACCATCGCCTCCGCTCCATTGTCAATATCAAGCATGATGGCGTCGTAGTCACCTCCGGCGGCCTTTATCAGCTGAATAACGTCAGTTTCATAGAGTTCAGTCCGGCCATCGTCAAGAGGCCGGCCAGCCAGATCGGCAAGCACACCCCGGTTCCACTCAACCACGCCTGGCACCAGCTCCGCGACCACCACCCGGGCATCGTGGCCGAGGATGTCCAGCGCCGTTCTCACCGAGTAGCCCATTCCCAGACCGCCAATCAGAACGCGGGCCCTCGGTCGTTTTGCCAGTTCTGACAGCCCAGTCTGGCCATGGCTTCTTCTGACCCGTAAACCCGGCTGTTCATGAGTTCCTGGTTATCCGCTTTGAGCGAGAACTCAGAGTCACGTTGGTACAAAACGAGCTCCGCTCCTCCGCCAGGGGTTTGTGCCCGGCCGATCAACTGCCAAGGATTCATTGATACCTCACGATCATGTTGGAGTAGCCAGGGGCAACATCCTCGGCGGGATCCGATTCCGTAACCACTGGACCTCCGGAGTGATCCTCTTCAAGCGGTTCGGTCAACCAGCTCATGCAGCCGGTCGTTCTCATGAGCCGTGGACTATTCGATGGTTCGTCGGGTGATTGGGCCGGTCCATGGCCAGATGTCCTGTCGTCAGCAGGTTACGCCCCAAGCTTGTTTTCGCAAGGGGAATAAACCGATGATAAGAGCTTCAGATATTCTCATTTCCGATGATAAGCCCCAATCCACCGAGAGGTGAGTGTAGCGGCGTGCTGAAGGGGTAAGTAAAGTTCTCCTGTGCTTCGGGGATAGTGGCTTCGGAAACACAAACCCGCCCACCAGACCAGGGACCACTCCATAGATGCTACCACCCCGAACGCATCCGCATCGCCTTTGACGACCGCCGCCTGGTCAACAATGCTGTGCTGATCCTGCCAGCCACCCGGGCCCTGCATCTTGGACTGCCCCAACTGGTTGACCGGCACCTTGACTTGGGCCGCGCACCAGGCCGAGCCAACACCGGCGACAAGATGATGACCCCGGAGGCATCCGCCCCCTGCTTTCGCGGGGATAGACCCACATCGTGGACTGGGAAACGGTAATCCGAGGGGGTTCCCCCGCGTATACAGGGAGCCACCCTGGGTGTGAGCAATACATCGGATGATAGCCTGAGCAAACCCTGTAAGCGCGGGGATAGACGGCGACGTCGGAATCGAGGACACCTATTACGTCGAGGACATACCAAGTGGCCAGCTGCTACGCCAAGCCAAGGAGGAGCTTGCGGCCGGCGATGTCCGGCAGGCTTCTGAGAAAGGCTGGGGCGCGGCCGCGCAGATAGTGAAAGCCATCGCGCCCGCGCCACGACTGGGAACACCAAAGCCAACGGGAGCCGTTCCAGGCAATGGACCGTCTGCGCAGAGAAACCGGTGACACAGACATACGGCGGCTGTTCAACGTGGCCAGCGTGTCAAGGGTGGCGGCAAAACGTACCACTGGGGCGGAGGAAAACTGTACCACCTGGATAGTACCTGACGGCTCAAGCGGAAGCGGCGGCCCCGTCACGACTAGGGGACCGGAGGAAGCCGGCGCGGGCGCGGGCTAAGCGCCGGCCTGCTTCACGGCAGTCGGTGCGGCGGTGTTCTGCCGGCCGCCCTTGAGGCGGTGGCTCTCGCCGTTCATCTCCAGGATGTGCACGTGGTGGGTGAGGCGATCCAGCAGCGCGCCCGTGAGTCTTTCTGACCCGAAGACCTGGGTCCACTCATCGAAGGGCAGGTTGGTGGCGACCAGGATGGAGCCCCGTTCGTAGCATTGGCTGAAGACCTCGAAGAGCAGTTCCGCGCCGGTGGTGGATAGCGGCACGAAGCCCAGTTCGTCGATGATGAGCAGCTTGAGGCGGGCCAACTGCCGCTGCAGGTTGAGCAGCCTGCGGTCATCTCTGGCCTCCATTAGCTCGTGGACCAGTGCCGCGGCGGCGTGAAGCCCACTGACATTCCCCGCTGGCAGGCGGCCAGGCCCAAGCCCAGGTCGATGTGGGTCTTGCCGGTGCCGCTGTTGCCGATGGCGATTTCGTTCTCGCGGTGCTCGATGGGGCCTGCTGTCTGGCTATGATGATGAACACATCGCGGTCAGCGGTGGACAGGTCAATTTCCGAATCTATGCACTGTATATGACATACCCACAACCCCGCGTGCCAGCCACCCTCAAACCTCCTTGGAACAATTCAGCTCACCAAGTCGGAATAGCTACGTTTTTGCGCGGGCGTTGAAGCTCGTGTATTGTTTTTGTAGCAACGGTTCTCGTTGCGACGGGGAGGTGGTGCCTTGACCGCGTTACGTAATTCGACATGGACTAAGAACCTACCCTAATAATCCGGCGGCTCTGAGGGCGATGAGGACACAGGCGAAATGAAGGAAGGCGATGTAGTTGTCGGGAGACTTGTCCCAACGGATCAGAATGCGCCGGAAGCGGTTCAGCCAGCTGTGAGTGCGTTCCACCACCCAGCGGCGGGCTTTGAACCCAGCTTCCCTTTTGATGGCCTGAGCCTCTTCGCCTCGACTCGGATGTGGGCGGTGAAGCCGAACTCGTCCAGGGTGCGGCGCACCTCAGCGAAGTCGTAGCCCTTGTCCAGGCACAGACCCTGCGGATGGGCTGGGCAAGGCGCCGGGCGCGGCACCCGCAGGCGGTCCACCGTGGACCGCACCAGCTTCATGTCGTGGCGGTTGGCCCCGTCCAGGCTCAGCCAACTCCAGTCCAGACCCTTCAATTCGTCATAACGCTCCAGTCCCACACGCCACAGCTCCAGGAATACCCCGGCAGCGACCCATTCCTGAAAGCGCAGATGGGCGGTGGAGCCGGAGCAAATGCCCGTTGCGTCCAAGGCTTTCCACTGGCAGCCGGTACGCAGCACGTAGAAGATGCCGTTGGCGCAAGTCCGGTCTGGACCCGCGGTCGGCCGCCGCCCAAAGGATGGGTGTCACTCGCTGGGGAAGCAAAGGGGCCAACACCTGCCATAACTCGTCGGATATCTGAAAGGAACTGGTCGTGGGGTTGGCTGGGGTGGACGGGCCACCACGTTTCCGTCGGGAGGGCTTGGGCTCTTTTGATTTCGTCATTCCCCAGGTTTAGATTCAGCCCTGGCTTTTCCCCTCTTACTACTCCTGCAAGTTTCCCCCTGTTTTTAGGATAGGTTCTTAGCGGACATGCTTGAATGAGAGCGTCGTAGCAAGAGGCAGGATGGGTCCATAGAGGGGTGAGCAGGTGCCGGTCTAGAAATTGCCATCGTTATCCAGCAGACTTTCCGACAAAAGCGGTTCCCGAGGCGTTGAGGCTATGATGGGTAGAGCATCAAACCAGCGGAGCCGTCGATGAGCAACACCTATCTCCGCTACGATCCCGATCAGCAGTTGCTGCTGTCGGCGGCTCTGCAGGAGTGGCTGCCTGACGACCATCTGGCCTACTTAATATCCGACGTGTTCGACCGGCAGGACCCGTCCGCAATCACCGCCCGCTACGAGGAAAGGCGCGGTGGACCGCCGTGTCGTCCCCGGAGCCTGTCGCAGAATGCTCCTTCTATTCCGGTCCGGTCTCCTGGCTAACACCGGTGGTCCGAAGCCTGGAATTCGGACGGTTGACCCATTCCATTGGCTGCGCTCAATCACACCAGTCTCACCACCCACCAATTCGCCATCCATCCCGTAGCCTTGGCCGCTAATCGTCGCACCCCTCGTCGTCAGTTTCATCATCTACCAGGATACCAATCAGCACCGCGAAGGTGCCGAGCTGCGCCCGGGTCACACTTTGAGCTTCCCGAAGATGCTGCTGATGTGGTTCCGCACGGTGTACTGGCTGATGTCAAGGGTGGCGCCGATGGCGGTGTTGCTCAGGTCCATCGGCAACCAGCACCAGCACCTGCTGTTCCCGGCTCGTGAGGTGGGTCAGGTCCACGAACTTGCGATGGTATTGAAACATGCGGAGCGTTAGTTTCGGCGACCTGGCGAATGACGAGCATGTCTCCCTGGCCGTTGGCGCGGACGGTGCGGACCAGGTCAGCGTGGGGACCGTTCTTGGGCAGGTAACCCGACGAGCCAACGCTCATGGCGGACGCGATTTCGCCCATCGCCAGGCGGTTGGTCATCATGATGACCCGGACGGTGGGGAGCACTTCCAGCAGGCTCAAACAGGCCTCAAAGCCCGAGCCGTCGGGCAACTCCACGCTCAACAGGATCACGTCGGGTTGCAGCGCCGAGGCTTCCTCAATGGCGGCGGCAGCCTCACTGAATTCGCCCACCACCGTGAGGTCAGCCTCGTTCTCCAGGGACATTTTGAGCCCCATGCGGAGGTATTGGTTGGCTTCTACGATCATCACGCGGACCAAATCAGCCTCCTCCAGATCTCGTCTTCTTTACCCCGAATCCACCGAAGCGATGGTCGCTGGCGTTGACACCATGGATGATGGGTAAGGGAAGGCGAACGGGCCCAGCCAGATCCCAATAGATGGGGATGAGGGCGGCGTGAGGGCAGCCACACCGGCACGATGCTGGCGGCCGTGCGGCCATGGCGGGCGGAATTCGACAGGCGGTAGGCAGGAAGTGTCCCTGGCGGACCGAGTTGGCGTGAGTTGGTGGGGACGTTCAGTGGGCCGGATGGCGGGTCAGCGGGCTGGTCGCCGCCGTCAGGCCGGAGATGGCAGGGCGCGCAATCGTGCCAGGGCGCCACTGAACTGGGCTTCCCAGGGCCAGTGCTTTGGAAGATGCAAAGTGAGGCGGCGCGCCGAGCGGGTGAGCCGTCCGGCGAGGGAGAAGAAGCGTCGTCGGAGGGTCTTGGTGGTTACCAGTTGCTCACCCAGACCGATGCGCGCCGTCCAGCGTCCCAGGTTGTGGGCGATCACCTGCACCGCCAGCCAGGCGGCGTTGGCGGCGAAGCGCCCCGAGGGGAGATGGTTCAACCCCACGCCGTACTTGAGGTCTCGGATGGCGTTCTCGATCTCGGCGTGGCGGCGATGGTCGGCCTCCAGTTCCAGGGGTTGCCCCGTCCCGGTCGGTGATGAAGCCGTGATAGCTGTAGGCGGCGAAGAGGGCCAGCTGGGAACCGGGCGTTGGCTTCACCCTCCGGACGACGAGCCGCACCGGCACGGCGTCGGGCTCACTCTGGAAAGGGGTGTAGGTGGTCTCGGCCACGTCGGCGGCGCCGTCCATCCAGTAGGGAATCGGCGTCCAGTCCGTCTCGGGTATCGCCTCAATGAGA